TTATGCTGCCTTGCTTGAATACAGAAATTAACCCTGATTAACCTCTATCGGAAACCAACGCTAATAGGTGAAAACTCATATACTCTACTATAATATGTAATAACATAGTAATCTCAGTTACTATTCAGAGTTACGTAAACTAAATATTATTACATATTATTATACCACATATTATATATATTACTATGGTTATATATTGTATAACACACTGCTGATATATATTTATATATAATAGTATCTAAATATATTATACTATCTAGATATACTAGATATATATCTAGATGTACTATCTAGATATACTACTATGCTAGATATATATTTATATCTAAATATATAATACTATCTAGATATATAATTTATAAATTTAAATTATATATTATATATACTATCATATATAATAAACTAATTTATAGTTATATATGGTACTGTATACATTATGCATTATGTTATATAATATATATTATTATATATTATATATATTATATATATTATATCTTATATATACTATATTATGTATAATAGACTATATTATGTGTAAGATATGCTATTATGTTATATACTATATAATACAGGCTGTATTACAGTCTATATTGTTGCTATATAGTATTATGAATATGAATATAAACAAAATATTGTTCTGAATAGTAACTTCAGAGCTAATATAAAACATTATTCTGAGTAAAGTATCTAAAATACTCAGCATATAAGTAAAATAATAAATTCAGAGTTTTTCAATTATTTGTAGCTGAAACAACCGAGAACCTTAGAGTTCCACTGAAAGGTGTGGAAATAAATACATATTGAATTTTCCACATTTTCTCCTGAGCTCAGAGGAATTTATTCTCCCTCCCTAGTGAGGTTATACAATGCTGAAGATGAACCAGCCTCCAAATGCCAGCTGCTGCCTCACAAGCACGACATCATCACTCTGCTTGGGGTCGGGGGACACTGGATAACGACAGAAAGGAACCTGCAGGTAAAGATGCCTGTGGCAGGGATTAGTTTGTCCCACAGAAAATCGAGATACAGACACATAAAGTTGTTGTTTCAACCTGTCACTGTTGCTAGTTTCCTCTCTTTTAAAAGTGGGCAAGGAGTGTTTTTTGTTTGGTTTAGCCATCTCTGTAAAATAACCATTTTACCTTTATTTGTGTATGGGAAAACGTAACCGAATAACATTTTTCTCCAATGTGCTTCAGCTGGATCCTCCAGACAGCCATTCCTTGTTCCTTAAGGGAGCCACAGTGTCCTTCCTGAACGATGAGATCTGGAACTTGTCCAATGTGCAGCAGGGGAAGTATCTCAATATCCTTTGGTGGCCCTGTGGAATTCTCACTGCTCAAAGGAGTGAAAATACAACTGGGAAATCCCACTGAGAGGTTCTCCTCTGCTCAGTGCTGCAACCCCACTGAAAGGTGGAGATAACATGTAAGAGACACTCAGGTTTTAATGTATTCTCTGCATTCCTTTGAAATACATTGTGGAATCCCAGCTGGTTTGGTGGCAAGGACATTAAAGTTCATCCAGTGCCACCCCTGTCCTGGCAGGGACACCTCCCACTGTCCCAGGCTGCTCCAGCTCCAGTGTCCAACCTGACCTTGAAAATGTCTCTACAAGCTTCAGTAAAAGCAGTGCTGCAAAACACCCATTCTGGGAGAAAAAAATGCAGTATTTTGGTTCATTATTGAACCAATTAATTGAAGATTTGATTCTATATGTTTTTATTGTATGAAATTAATGTTTTGGATTTTGTTTTGGTTGTTGTGCTTTTGGACATTAGATGCATCACTTGTAAACTTAATGCACTCATGTTCACTGCAAGAGTGGAAGTGTTTTGGCTTCCTAACTTTACCTTTATTTGCAATGTGCAGAAATATTATGTACAGAAAATGTACTGATTTGTTTTGTACCTGCAATTTATGGAGGGAAAATGTGGGTTGGAAAGAGGAAAAGGAATAACTCCTACATTTGGGCTGATGCAGCTGGACTGAGCTTCCTGGGCAGGACATTTTCAGCTCTGGAAGGTGTGGGTGCTTTTGGCTTTAGGAACTTATGTATCTTGTGAAATTCTGGAGCATCTGGCATTACTGTCATCTGAAGAAATCACAGATTGATCACTTTTTAAAAGAAATCGAGCTTCAAGTAGATTGCCCTTAAAATGAAGGATGAACCTTGTTATTTGAGTTTCAAACAAAGACTGAATACAGCCCCATGTGTTGTGCTGGCTTGGCTGGTGGTCATTAACTCACAGACCCCTCACATGGCAGTGTGCTCCAAGAATTTCCTGCCTCTGCTGTGTTCCCAGCTTCATTTGGGCTTTTTATCGGGTGCCTGTATGAACAGTCACAACAGCTACCTAATTCCAAAATCTGTTCTCTTCATCCTGCACAAAAAATGCCATTGATTAATGATTGATTGATGTTCTGGTGCAGGCTACGCTTGTATTTCATATGGAAATATGGAAGATTTTCATATTGAAATAATTGAAATATCCCATATTTCATTTATGGATCCTATCTCAGGAAAGGAGGTTTCTGATATAGAAACAAGTGCAAAAATCTGATTGAAAGCCTGGAACTGAGGCTCATTTTAATTTTCCCTTGATCTTGATGAGTTTGTATCAGTACAGGGCTGTGGCCAGGAAATGTGATTGTAAAGAGATTTCTCTCCAGCTCTATTGTTCCTTAACAGTCCTCTTGGATACCCATCCTGGAAGATATCATGGAGAAATTATCAAATAGAATTTTCAGGTGAGAGATGTGGAGATTTTTGTGGGGTTTTTAATTCAACATTAGAAGTAGAAAACTCTTGCCAGCACTAACACTCCTGAGCAGTGCTTCAGAAGATAGGAAGAGTCCCATAATAAGGTGGGAATGGAAGATCCCTTCCCTTAAAGCAGGATAACAGCTGCTGTTGAACAGAACCCTCCCCACCACCCTCTTTTTCCCCTGCAGGAAGGATCTCTTTTCATTCACTTGTGGCTCCTGTTTGCTTTTGGGGCTTTTCCCTTTTTCTGTGCACTGGAGCAAAGCCATAAAACTTTTACTTTGTTTGAGGAGGGAGGTTGACACAGTGAAAGTAAAGTGTGTCCTGTGATATTTCTGGTGGCCTGAGTGTGCTCACCAGCACTTTTTACTGTTTCATTTCAGGCCTCAGCTGGATGAACCGATCCCATTGTATGAAGCCAAAGTTTCTATGGAAATAGTTCAGAAGAATCAAGCAAGAAAGAGACAAGTCATCCAGTTCTGACACACAGCTTCTGATTTCTCAGCCTGGGGAAGATAAAGAAATGTATTTGTGGAGTAAATCAGTGTACACTTGCAGGCAGCAAACAGAATTTAAACATTCTTTGTACCTCAGCTCAAATGGTCTCTGAAACTTCCATGACTTCAGAGTTTTTAAGTTCCCTTGAGCAGAATGTTCCCATCAGCAGCTTCTAAAGAAACAGCCTTGACATAAAAATCTTGTCAGCCCTGCCGCAGTTAAAAATGTCAGAAACATTTACAGGCAAACTCGGTCGTTGTTGGTTTCCAACTCTAAGAAATTAAAGATCTTTTTATTATCTTTTGTCTCCAACCCCTACCAGTAGTTACCTTTATAGTTACCTTTTGCTTTTGAGTGGACTGTGACTGAGTGCTACACTTAAAGATCTTAATCCACATATAAAATTGTTATTTAGTTGAAGGACAGGCAAAACTATAGAGGTTGGCAAGGGTGCCAGATGGGAAGGATGTGCTGACAGCAGGAGTTTCCCCCAGCTTTTTCCCTTCATTTCAGCACTAAGGCAACAAACCTGGTAAATCCAGAGTCCCCAAGCTGTTGGAATTGTGCGAGTCAGATGTTTGAGGCACTTTGTGTAGCTTGTAACCTTTGGTATCTCTCTGTGCTGTGCATATTAACCTCAGCACAGCCCAGATCTGTCTCTCCAGCATTATACATGACTGTGGCCTCTCTGAAAGTCAGCAGTGGGGAAGGAAATGCATTTTGCTTTCCTCAAAGCATGTGCCTCCCTACATGCTGTGATTCAAGAGCAAAAATACTTTTTCAGCCATGTTGCTCATTTTCACTGTGGATCACTCAGACCATGGACATGGTCACTTCAAAGCTCTGTCAGTGGGAGAATTGGAGAGAAAACAGATTGTCCAGAACCACACTTGATCTGTCTCCTCTCACTCCCTGCATTTGGAGAAGGTGCTGGATAAATGATGGAGGGCGAGTGTAGGAAATCAGGAGGAACTCTGATTTTACTCCCCGTGTGCTGCCGTGCAGCCTCGGAAAGGAGAGGAGCTTTTGTGCACGGCTGAAGCGTGCGAGTCCTCCGGGAGTTCCACAACCATTGTGGAGCCTTGGACCCAGCTGTTGGTTCTTCCCTGATGCTGCTCAGTTCTGCTTCAGTGTGCCCAAAATAAAGAAGATCACGGGAAACAGATTTAAAAGTTGTAGAAGGCAAGAGTAACAGGTGACTGGACAGTGTAAATTTTTGATAGCCTAGCTTTTAGTTTTATTGAATCTTTTGTCAGTAGAAATGTTGCTAACTACTTGTTTAAGACTTTTGACGGCTTTTGACCCACATGGACATCTAATTACACCGGTTTAGTATTTATGATGTTTTTTCAGACCAATGTACGAGAGAATGGTGAAATCAAAAGCGGTTTTCTGTCCCAAGGATTCTGAAACATTCACTTCTCTCTCCCAGGCAGACTAAAGCCTGTGGGTTTAGTGTCACATCCCACAGAGCTCGGCCTGGAGCGCTGCTGCCGCGGCCGAGCGCAGCCCCGGGGCCGCTGTGCGGGTGCATTGGAAGGGCACGGACACAATGGCAGCGCCGTGTGTCTTTGTGCTCCAGGTTTGCGCTGCCCGTGCGGGCGGAGCGGGGCTGGCGGGAGCCGCGCTCCCCTCAGAGCCCCTGAGGGCGGCAGCGATGGCGGCGCCGCTCCCTCAGCGCCGCCCCGGGGCGGAGCCGCCGCTCTTTGGCGCCAAGACGGGAGCGCGGCTCGGCCATGGCCGCCCCTGCCGAGCCCGAGCGCTCGCCCGGCTTCAAGAAGCCGCCGGCGCTGCTGCGGCTGAAGCGCAAACGTCCCGGGCGGAGGAGCGACCCCGCCACCGCCGCCGCGGAAGCCGCCGCCGCCCCGGCCCCGCGGGGCTCCGCGGCCGCCCGGCGCCGCAACCCCTTCTCCAGCCTGGAGCGAGCTCCGCGGCGGGCGGCGGCCGCCCCTCGGCCTCGGGCAGCGGCCCCGGCGGGCGGGGAGGCGTCGGCAGCGCCCTTCTGGCAGGTGGGACCGAGCCCCGGCAGCGGGGTCACCGCGCTCAGCCCTCCGCCAGTGCCCTCAGGCATCGCACTGAGCCCTCAGCCATTGCACTGAGCCCTCAGCCATTGCACTGAGCCCTCAGCCATCGCATTCAGCCCTCAGCCATTGCACTGAGCCCTCAGCCACCACATTCAGCCCGCAGCCATTGCCCTCCGCCAGTGCCCTCAGGCATCGCACTGAGCCCTGAGCCATCGCATTCAGCCCGCAGCCATCGCATTCAGCCCGCAGCCATTGCACTGAGCCCTCATCCATCGCATTCAGCCCTCAGCCACCACATTCAGCCCTCAGCCACCACATTCAGCCCTCAGCCACCACCCCGCCCTCGCCCCCAGCCCCTTTCCGACGCAGCCCTGGCTCTCCCCCGCCTGCCCCAAGGCCCGGCTGGGCTCGGGCTGCCGCTCAGCGCTGGGTGCGGATCTCGTGCTCGCCCCGATCGGGGTTTGTTCGCAGCCCGGGGTGCTGAGGATCACTCGGGAAATGTCATTGCAAGGGCAGTTTTTAAAGTTATCAGCCCGCTGGTTCCTTTGTGCTGTGCCTTATGCTGTTCTTTCATTTAGTTTTTAGAGCCGGCGGGTGAAGAGAAGCCTCCCGGCAGAGCGGAGCCTGCTGAAAGTTCCGACATCCTCGACCTAAGCCAGGTAAGGAACGGCACAGGCTGCTGAAAAGATTCCAGCTGTTCTCCGGGCACACAGAAAGATGAAACTGTTTCAGGTGGTATTTGCTGGCCCATCTCTGTGTAAAAGAATGTACTAAAATGTCCGTATTCAAGGACATTTCTTACATTGATTCCTGTTCTGGTGACAGCCTTCTGCCTGACCTCACTGCTATCATAGTCCCATGGACAGAGGTTGTTTTCTTTCAGTTTTCCTAACTATAATTGTACTGTTTCTTAGTTTTATATGTAGTTGAGATGAGGATGTTCTTCACCAGATAGCTCCTGCATTCTGGTTTTCAGCTGCAGAAATGGAGCACTTCATCAGGCACATAGGAAAGCAAGAATTCCTGAAAACCAGCCCTTGAAATTGAAACAGTTTCAATAGACATTCTCTAATGTTGTTCTAGGTACAGAAACTGAAGTTCCAACTAAATTAGAAGGATAGAAAAAAGAAAGCAAACTGTCTTGGAGGTGCTCAGGGCTTTTTTCAGCATGTAACCTTACAGTCACCGGGAGAGAATGAAATGAAATAACCATTTTGGCATGGAAATTCTTGTCTTTGTAAACAACAGGCTTGGGGCTTTTTAGTTTTAACAATTTATCCTTTATTTGTTCCTAGTTTATACTGTTGGAAGGACTCATGAGTGCAAGCCCTCTGATGTGGTTTTATAGGCAGTAGAATGGAGTATTTTTGTTAGAATCTGGTGCTGAGTAAAATAATCAAAATAATAATAGAAAAATATATAAATATATAATATATATAAAATAAAAATTATAAATCAATATATAATAAATAATAGAATAAATGATATAATAAATAATATAATAAATAATATAATAAATAACACAATAAATACTATACTAAATAATATAATAATGTTTAGACAATATAATAATATAAATATTAAATAATAATAAATATATAATAATATATAAAATAGTAACTGTGCCTTTGGTTCAGCCTGTGAACAGGTTTAGTTTTCTGTGAGTTAACTGATGCTGTTTCTGTCTGCTCAGAGCCCTCATTCACCTCTGGCTGTTCCCAAAGCTCCCTCCTTGCCAAGCGAGGAATTCCCTGCGGACTGGAGCATTAAAACCCGGGTTCTCTTCATGTCCTCCCAACCCTTCACCTGGGCAGAGCACCTGAAAGCACAGGAGGAGGCGCAGGGCTTTGCCCAGCACTGCAGAGCTGCAGAAACCACCTTGCCCCGGAGCGTGCAGGTGAGGGCTGGGCGGGTGCCCGGGGCTGCAGCTTTGCCGGCAATGGGAACTGGGAGTGGGAAATTGGGAATGGAAAACTGGGAAAGGGGATGTGGATGGGAACTGGGAATAAGGAATGGGGAATGGGCTGCATCTTTGCCAGCAATGGGAACTGGGAATGGGAAATTGGGAACTGGGAATAGGAACTGGGAATGGGAAATTGGGAATGAAAAGTGGGAAAGGGGATGTGGATGGGAACTGGGAATAAGGAATGGGGATGGGGGATGGGGAATGGGAACTGGGAATGGGGATGAGGATTCGAATGGGAACTGGGAATGGAAATCTGGGAAAGGGGATGTGGATGGAAACTGGGAATAAGGAATGGGGAATGGGAACTGTGAATGAGGATGGGATATGGGGATGATAATGGGAATGAGGATTCGAATGGGAACTGGGAATGGAAATCTGGGAATGGAAATCTGGGTGGCAGCTTCACCGTGCCCCTCACGGCCTGTGGGACCTGCAGGAGCCGCGGCTGTGCACGGAGCTGCGCTGTGCCTTCCAGCAGAGCCTGGTCTACTGGCTGCACCCCTCGCTGTCCTGGCTGCCGCTGTTCCCCCGCCTCGGGGCAGACAGGAGGATGGCAGGAAAGGCCTGTCCTTGGGCACAGGACGAGGCCGTGCAGCAGGTGCTCATGAGTGACTGGTAAGTGCAGCCAAAGTACTGATGGGCTGGGGTAGAGCGAGACAGGGAGGTTTTAATTAATCACAGAGTCGTGGCATGGGTTGGTTGGAGGGGAGCTTAGGGATCATTGCATTTCAACCTCTGCCATGGGGACATCACCCACTGTGCCAGGCTGCTCCCAGCGCCAGTGTCCAGCCTGGCCTTGGGCACTGCCAGGGATCTGCTCTGGGCACCCTGTGCCAGGACCTGCCCACCCTGCCAGGGAACAATTCCCAATTCCCAATCTCCCACCCAGCCCTGCCCTCCGGCGGTGGGAGCCATTCCCTGTGCCTGTCCCTCCGTGCCTCGCCCAGC